AGATGCTCTTTTTTTTATGCCTTTTTATGGTTTTGTTTGTCCATGTATGTTTTGTGTTTGTTGTAAAAATAAAAAAATATTAAAAAAAAAAAGAAAGAAGGTTGGATTATTTTCCTGTAACTGTTAAAGAAAGCAGAAAAAAGTATGAAGAAAAGTATGTTCTATGAATCAACACGAGCTTCTTATCTGCCCCACATCAAGTGGAAATGTTATGTTATCTTGGTATCATATTGCTAGAGAGAATGACAACATGTTCAGTGTTTTAAAAGCAAGTATTGGGACAGTGAGAACTCCTGCCCAAAAATCTTATTCTGGAACATTCTCATGTCTTATTGTGCTGGCAACCATTTCATAATTTAGGAAGTCATTCAAAGATCCAGTTACAAGTACCCTACAGTTTTTCCATTGCATTGAAAACAAATTTCTGGATAAATGTTTATACACTGAAATTTGCAAATTAAAGGTGCATTTTACTATTTAGAATTGGTTTTGGCCTAGGTGAAGTGGGGCAGAATGATAGCAATCCCAAAATCTCAAGGAAAAAAGGCGGCATTCATTTTATGCACAGTGAGAAGAAAAGAAATGGACACGAGGCTTCTCCCATTTTATACTTTGGAGTTTCAGAGTAATACTTAGCTTTTTAGCAAATGGATGGAACCTCACTTTGTGTCCTTTCAAACTAAGCGATAAAGATTGTGGGAGTTGATCTAGAAGATGCATCTTCAGGTAGTTCTAGATTTGCAAACAGTATTTAAAAAAGAATGGCTCTTATAAATTATAGTCTTCTGAGCTTGCCGGTCTCTATTTATGATCTGTTTTTATATCCCATTCATTGAAATGGGAACAAGAAATGCTTGTAATGCAAAGACAAACAAGATAAAGGAATTTCTTTCTACCAGTATGTTTTTTGGCTATATAGGATATACAAAAGACAGTTAAAGAGTGTGATGCATTCTAGAAATCACAGACTGATTTTGAAATGAAGAGCTTTGTATCTAAACATTTTTTTAAAATAACTTTTGAAATGTGTTCTTGGAGTTAGATCATTTTACTGGTTGTATGACTGGACTGGTTAGGCCATATCTTTTCTTTTTAAATAACCATTATACTTCTCTTTTAGTTAGTGATAGGTTTGTGATACAGTATGTTTGGTTTTGCTGCTGTTTGTAAATGGTTACAATGTTTGTTTCTTTCTCTCTGGATGTATTATGTTCTTGTGAATCAATCTTAACTCATTTTTAACTGAAAAATAGGTTAAACAGGTACTGTAAACATTTATTTGGAAGTACATTGATTGCACTTAGCTTTTGTGCATGAACTTAAATAAGAGGCTTGGTCTCTTGACCTGAACTCTACTACAATCCCCACCAAAAGTGTTTAATGCTGCACAACATTCTATATATCTCTTCTCTGAAAAGGGTTCTCTGTGAAAGAATTGCAGTCCATTCTTATAGCATCCAGAGTAAGTTTTCCACCAAAACGAACTGAACTTGTTCGAAAAGAAGTTATAGGAAAAAGAGGTAATGAATTGAATTCAGATTCAGAGTTGTCCTCCTCAGGATCCATAATGGCAGGTGTGATGGTTGGCAAGTAATCTACTGTGGCATCCTCAAGTGGATTAACCAAGTACTCAGAAAATACTTGATCTTGGTTTGGATCTTCAGGTACAACTTTCTTGTACAAAGATGGCAGCTGATGGTTCCCAGTATTATCTATTATGTTGGTAGTCAACGAATCACAGTTCATAGTTCTCATAGATAGTTCTTCTATCTCAGTATTTTTGAAATTGTGCATATCCATAAAAGCTAGGTATGGTCTTTTAATTAAGACTTCCTTTATTTGTAGAGTTTGAGGGTCTTCAGATCTGGCTGGGTTGCTTAAAAACTCTGTAGAATTTAAACTGGATTCATCCTTAATGAAGAAATTGAGGGAAAATGTGAGTCGATAATAGTACAATACCTGAACATATCTCTCTTTCTTTAAAAGCAAACTTCTTTTGCATAAAAGTCAGCTTTATGTAACTACTCTGCAAGATTTGAAATTTGTAAATTCTTTTATAAAATGGGGGTTTTTCATCACAATGTTTGAGAATGATATGAGACTGTCACATGATCAATAATTGTGGCACGTTTTTTTCATCTGAGAAAATCTACTTTTGGTAGAAGGAAATCCTAGAAAACTGAAGCTGAATTATTTATATCCTCTCGTCTTTAAGTATCTCTCTGCTAATTTAAGGAAGAACTTTTCCCTTGAGACAGTCCATCAGCTGAGCTGGAGTATCAAATAGGTAGGCCTACCATTGTAGATGCAAACTCTTTTGCCCATAAAGAGTTGGCTGGATCTGGATACCATCCAAATAACAGAGCAGAAAAGAGGGAGAAAATCCTAGTGGGAAAAAAAATAAAACAATGCAACCTTTAGCTTTAAGTGTTAATAATGTCACAGTTGTGGAGTGTAAAACTCTCTCTAGGAATTATTAAATTAGAGCTCCATGAGACTCTTCTGGCATAAGTACAATATGTTTATAAGTTAGTTGGCACTTCTGCATTATAAATTGAGTAGGTCTGATGTGGTCTACTTAAGGTAGCAGATTTGGATGTATCATAAAGGTGCAGAAAGCTGCCAATTATTATTACTACCAAGAATTTGCTATTTGACTTTCCTGTCTTGTGAAAGTGGGAACAAGTTCCACAATATTCACTTGTATTCACTTTTCTCCCTCTTCCCCTCCACAAAGTTAGATTTAGAAGGTAGCAGCTTTATATAAACATCTGATGGGCATCCTTCTCCACATATCTTCAACGCTAACCCTAACCCTAAGGTCCTATCTGGTTGGCTTTTGGACTCCTAGTGGAATAGCAGTGCTGGCTCACACAGAGAATAGAGGGGCTGCTACAATAAAGGAAGGAAAAAAGCAACCAGCAGCTAGAAAGATAATATTGGAGCATCCATGTTTAAAAGTGACTCTTTTTGTAGCCTGCCTCCTACATTATATGGAGCGTTATATCTATGGAACTTTTACTTGAAGACGAATAGTGGTAAGCTATCTTGGTGGATTCAGGTGCATATCTAAAGATAAGGAGATGAAATGTATGGGCACATTGGAACACAAGAAGGCAAAGTGCAGTTAAAGGTGGACCACCGAGCAGAATAACCATGAAAAATGGATGTGAAGTTGAAAGGAATGATCTGAAAGGCAAGATACGGATTGTGTTTGCTGTGGAGGAATTTAGGTTTCTAGGGATCCACAGGCAGCCATTAGTAGCATCCCTGTTGGTATTACACTTTTAAAGTTAAATAAAGGTATCCTGCTTAACTGCACCATCTCATTCTGGATATTATTACATACAACCAAGCAAGTACTTTCTCATATAAATTATTCTATTTAATGCCATTTTTTATGATATTCTAATTTTTTGCCACTGTACATCTAACAATCACTAATCATTTAAAAAAAAATTATAATCACTTACTTTTGCCGAACAAATGGTACACAACAGATGCAGACTGAAAGCCCAGTAATAATGGAAATGGTTATAACTGGAATCCAGTCAGAGGCGTCTGTAAATCCAATTGCTACGTTATGACAAAAATACTTGCATTAAAAAACAACAACTTATATAACAGGCATTTAGAAATCTGATTTCTTTTTCTTTTTTAAAGCATTTCTTTATTTAGTCTCTTACACTTTCTTGGATGAGATCCATGATGCAATACTCTTAACACACATACACCACTATATTAAAACAACCATTCTGGATACTTTCCTATACAGCTCTCCCAACCCTCCAGTTGGAGAAGATTGATTTAATAACTTCTGCAGTCTATTATTTAAAAATCAGGCAGTTTCATTTAACATTTTGACAGATAATGATATGCCTTCATGAATTTGTTTGTAAAAAAAAAAATTAGCCATTACTCATAATGGGTAATATAAAGGCATTGATTGGGCAGAGTTCTGAAAACTATATTCCCAAGAATGCCCCAGCTATTAAGGATGAGTGGATCAGTATAAATCAGTGTTTTTCAAACTTGGCAACTATGAAATGTATAGACTTCAACTCCCATTCCCCAACCAGCATGCTGGGTAAAACTAGTGTTTATAAATTGGTATAAATTTAGTCCTTTAAATATATGTGTTTGATAAGACAGGACTTGATTCTAATTTTAATGAGTGTTTTGAAAAATCCACTGGGAAAACATGACTGTTTTCTTTCACAGTTTTCTTAACATATGAACCTTTTGTACACAACTTGCCAGAGAGATGAAGAGCTTGTATATTTCCTGAGGATCCTTTTTGAAAAATGATTCTACCTTACAGACCTTTGTTATGTAAATTTCCTTGAGGCAGATCTTTTACATGTATTTTTTCCCTTGTGAAGTAAATCCCTTCCTTTTACATCACTTGCCCTTTTTCTGGATTTTACATTTTTATTAGATTCATCTCACATTTTCCCTTCTTTTACATGTATTTTTTCCCTTGTGAAGTAAATCCCTTCCTTTTACATCACTTGCCCTTTTTCTGGATTTTACATTTTTATTAGATTCATCTCACATTTTCCCTGTGGAGCTTTGGTCAGAGAAAAGAGTACCTTAAGAAGTCTGGTTGCAAATCCTTCTCCATAAAATCTTTTTTTTTATA